CACATTTTACATCCACAAGGAAGGAGTCATATTTTCCTTCTAAACTGGGCGCATAGACCTGTAGTAAGGTCATCGCTTTAGCCTGTTGTGGCTTCAGTCAGGTGATTGCCAGTCTTCGTTTGACAGGTTTCCATTCAATGATTAGATCAGCCAGGTTGGGTTTTACTGAGCGTTCTTTTTCGTTCGACATGAAATAGTTACGGGATAAAACTTGCCTGGAGGTTGGTGATATTGTTGGCAGTTGCCAAACATCCAGCCAATGTATTCTTATTTTATAAACTGGCACCTTGTATTTTTATTAAACACGGATGAGGACAACAAAGTATAGTTCTTTGGTTGAGATTTTTCCAATCCATACCTGATCAGCTTGCCTCATATTTCGCGAAGGACTCTATATAGATTACTGTGGCTACGGCAGCCGCTGAAGACTACTTTAGACCACTTCGCGTGAAAGCACGATACCATTTTTAAGCTTTGCTCGAAATTCGCAACTTTCGCTGGAAGTTGAATTCATTATTTCATGCTGCTGTGCTCAATTTCTTTTGTACGGTAAAGCTGGCTGCCGAGTTCTAAACTATTCTCACAGTTCTGAACAAGCTCAGTATATCATGTGCGTTTTTGAGAACATTCAGTACTCATGCAGCTTCTTGCTCACTGAGTCGAGTAGAACTGGATATCATCAAGCTGTTCAGCAGAGTCTTGGCACTGCGTATCGCTTATCGACGCGCCACGTTTGTGAGTACCTGTGACTGTGCTCTGGTCATCTACTTTTAGTGCAATTTGTTCAATAGCGGAGTTCTGCACAGATGCGTTGCTTCTGAATTACCCGCAGCTGGTGTCTACTCTCCTGTATCTTTCGTTCTGCAACCCTGGAATTAGGGTTGAATCGCAGTCGATTAATCTTGCCCTCTTTTGCGTAGAGTAGCACAATGAAACGTACATCTCGATAGTGTAACACAGCCTGTATCGGAAGTAACATTTATCCGCATTTGATAAATTTGCGTCTGACAAAATCCCAACAACCATATCACGTTACTACAAGCAACTTTT